GAGATTCATTGCGTTATAGTAAAGATTTTCAAGAATTATATACTCACACTTCACAAATTATTAATGAGGGCAAACAATTTCAAAGCGAGAATACTAACCTTACATCCCAACTTACCCAATTACAAATTTCCCATACCAAGTATAAAGCCAAGTATAATACCCAATTGGAAAAAATAAAATCACTTCAGGCTATAAATGAGATATTAAAAAATAAATTGAAATCAGCTCAGAAAGATGTGCTTTCAGTTCAAAATGACTTGATCAAAAAAGAATCTGAGATATTATTTCTCAAGTATAAAATAGCAGAATTGGAACGAGAGTTAGCTTCAAAAGTTAATGAGCTGAAACATTTAAAATCAGAGAATATTTCAAAACTTGCGATTACTGGAGATGATGAAAAAAATATATAAAGCAAGGAACAAAGTTTTATATCGAAATCTGATAATAACTCTACAGTTAATAAAAATATTTGTAATCTTGATCCATATTTAATACATAAAAAAAACATGGATCAAGCTAAAAAAAGCGATACTATAAATCTTAACACTAACTCCACTATTATATCAGATCATACTAATGATGAGATTACTGAACCATCAAAAATCAATTCTGAGATTAATTCCAAAGTAAATAATGAAACTAATGATAAAGATGACATATCTCATCCTAATATTCAAGATATTGCAATAGGAGGGGTTAAGGAATTACCTATTATTGCATTGGGGGGTAGTAATGCTTTAGTTAATAATCATTATATAATTCTGCCTATATTCAAGTTTGTTATTATTGCTTTAATAGTAATATTAATTATATGGTATATATATAGTCAAATTTTTCGTTCAATCAAAAAGGAAGAAATTTTTTATCTGGTCTATAAAAATCAAAGTTATGGATTCCCAATCCGTTATACAAAAGAACTAAAAAAAAGAATTGCCACCTATAAAACTTTACCTTATGGATATGGATGAAGCTAATAAACATGAATTATCACGAAATGTTGGACATCCAACAATGACATGACCTTTCTCTAAGTTAGTTATTGGGAAGAGTGGATCAGGTAAAACCAATATCTTAACAAATTTTTTTCTCGGTGATAAAGCTGAATGTATATATAAAGGTAAAAAAGGTGATAGTAGATATATTTCTTGTGATGATTTAATCGTATGTGGATATCATCCTGATGAGCCAAAATGGACATTTGTAAGATATATGTATGACATGATTTCAAAAAATCCGAAAGCTCCTTACTATGAGAATATATGATTTAGATATATATCACCAGAAAAAATCCCTAATGTAAAAGCATTTTCACCTGAACGAAGTACAGTGATTGTTTTTGAGGATTTGTGCCTCGCTCCAGAACATATACAGAATCGAATTGATCAATTTTTTGGGAATGGGTGACATCGGAATATTTCATACATATATGTAGCACAGAAATATCATAAAATTACTACATTTATACATAAAAACATCTCTCACTTAATAATTTTTAATTCTGGTAGCTTGTATGAAGATATTTCCAAGATTATTCGATGATATACAGATGATGTAAAAAATGCTTCAATAGTTATTAACACCTATCTCCGCAAAGATGAATTTATTGTATTTGATCTAGATAGGCCTGAGGACAATCCGCTTGCAATTAGATTAAGATTCGATACTCCATTAGATTTGCAGAAAGAGATAGAGTTACAGAAAAAACACAAAATAAAAAATGCATCGTCGGCTGAATCCATAAACTCTGGATCTAAAAAATGTCAGCTAATTGATATGAGTCTCTGACTCTATGCTCTATATATTCATTGAACCAATATATGTACATCGATATTCAATATTAGCAATTTTAATAACTATTTTTCGATACTTAATGCCAGCATATACATATGGTCAATTACATAGTTAAAAAACAAAAGATCCAATGGGCTAGTTTATTAAAGTATAATAATCAGATAAGTATTTTTTTTCATTATTTATTAATATAATAATAAAGTATATCTTATCTGCTACTCTATTTTAAGAGCTGATCAAATTCTGCCACGTTGTAGTTAGAGTAGATATAAAAACAATTAATATGAAAAAAAATATATAAAGCAGATAAATAGATAAGCTATATGTTGTTATATGTTGTTATAGCAGAGCTAGTGTCTCTGACACATTAATATAGATAATAAATCATTTTATTGATATTAATACCTATACATTATTGATTTGACACATTTCTGCTCTAATATTCAATCGAATAAATAGATTTGATAGGTATTAATGCACTGTGTATTACACTTCTAATTGTTGGAGATGCTTACTAAATCTATCTCATAATTGATTTTCTTTCTATCTATCCAATTGTATGGAATATAATATTCTTCATATTCTCTTATATAAATATTCAAAGGAATTCCCAAATTATATTGTTTATATATTGTAATCCATTTAATATACCATTGATCAAATTGTTCTCAAGTCTGAGGATTTTTTATTTTATGTTGAGTTAAACCTAGAAATTTTTCATCATCAGAAGTACCGTCATTTCTCATTGCATTCCAAGCTTGGGTTGCTAATGATACGGGTCTATTCTTGTAATTTCTCCAAGCTCTTTGTATAATCCTTGCTTTTCCAAAATCGGTCTTTGGTTTATCACACCCATTATTCCAATGTATCTGCATCAAATCATCTGGCTTGATAATTTCAACATATCTTCGCCTAGTATAATGGAATGATTTCTTTGGTTGTACATTATCAATTTTTATTAATTTCCAACAATCAAAGCAAATAGCCATGTGGCTCTTATGAATTCTTGGTCTGTAATAATCAAAATTGACAAATTTACCTTTACCAAATGATGCGAATAAACATAGCCGGTAATATACACTAAATTTTCCAGCATTTAATAAATTCTGTAAGGGTACTCTGACCCGTATTGCCCATTGAACTGGTGTTTCATTCTGGTTTATGATAGATAAAGTATCAAATGATCTCTCATTATCGAAGAGTTCATCGTATCGTTTTCCATCAAAAGCTAAATAATTTCCAATATATGACACAACATATTTCATATCATATCCAGGACGAATATTAAAGGGTTTGGGTAATGTTTTATTTTTTTTATCGAGTAAAGTTGTAACATCAAAACCAGACATATTTATCGATTATATAGAATAATATATTTAGTAGTTTTACTGTTTTTTTGACCTATAATATGCATATATATTTCACGATTCAATTTTAGTCCAGAGATATCATATACATGAATTCGTGAAATATGGATTGCGATAAATAATTAGTAAATCCAGATGTACATATCACATGCGATCACCCGGAAAAATTTCTGTCAAAAAGTAATGTGAGTAATGTGACCAGACAAGCGAATCGTGAAAAAGGTTTTGGAAATGATTGTTGGTTTGTTAAAGGATAGGGCGTGTATTGAAAATCGCTGGCTAAAAAAAGGCGAGGGTCGAGGGATATCACGCAAAAAAAATGATGTAATAGTACCCGACTTTGTAATTTATTTTTGGTTAATAAAGAAATGATTTTTCTTGGCAAAAGTGCGTGAAATTTTTTCACGGAGTCATGTGATTTTTCTTGGCATTTTTCCGAGACATTATGTCCCGCAAAATTTAATCACGTGAATTTAACTTTGTACCTTACACGATTTGAATGAATGCGCTTTTTATACAAGATGTAAATATATTCAAAAGTTCGTTTAATATAGAAAAATATACATGTATATATGCTATGTAAGAAACTTATACTAAGAAATTTCTGAGACCGGCGGTCCCGAAAAAACGCCAAGAAAAAAAAATAATCGCGACTATATCATGACCCAACTTGTATCTCAGCATCGCACTTGTAATCAACCGTGATGTAACCCGTGATGGGCGTATTTATTGATATACATGATTAAGTTGAAAAGACTTAGCACTTCGTGTATTCGTAATATATGCATGATATTTTGCTTCGCAGGCACAGCCTAAAATTCGGGAAAATGATCCCCCTCTTTCGGGGTGATTAAGTAAAACAGATATAAAAAGTTCACGTGACTTTTAGAATACCGAATATAACGCATACACTATATACATGACACACCACCCGCATGCACGAATATAAAAAAACTTAATTGATACTATAAATACTCGAGAACAGAGATAAAAAACACATGACTCTGATCATGAAGAAAATCCGGTTAATTTTATCTTCCGAAATGGCGAAATCTATGATTGAGGGGGCACTATTTTTCTGATGGTCGAGCATGTCACAAGGGCGCAGTCAAAATTTTCGGGGGAAATTTACATGTAGTAGCGTAGCAAACAGTTATGTCGCATTTAGCAGTGATTGTTACCTTGCTATACTACGGTACTGTCACATCACGCGTTACAATTTGTAGTCGAGAAAAAATTTTTGATTTTCACATTCTTTTCTAAACTTCGCTAGGTTCCCAAGGACACTCACTGCACATACATTAATACAAATTAAAATTCAGAAATTTTGACAAATCCCACTGAAAAAAATAGGATCACATTAATTAATATTTATCCCTATCACATTCACTATAACTAATATCTTGAAGATCTCGAACCCGTTTTTTTTCAGGAGTTATATGAGTTGATGATGTAAGGGATACAATATTTTGAGGGAGTGTCTGGAATCCGTCATTTTCGTAATAGTTATCAAGAAAATGTTCGAAATCTACTTTTGACTCATTAATCAAGTTAAGTGTTTGCTTAATTACAGATTTTACGAATAAAACCTCCATTATAATGAATCCAAGCGGTTGATACTTGTTTAAACGACCAGGAACTTCATAAAATTTTCGACGATGGATACGAGTAACATATCCCATCGGAAGATCTACGGTAATCACTTGCATCATATTCGCTCCTTGGAGAATTCCAGCTATTTGTAACTTTCTCAAAACATCTTCTTTCATATCGCATTCTGTTGCAAGTACATTAATCATATCTTTAAGCATCTTGGACATTTTTAAGGAATCCGTTAAGAGTTTGGTTCCCTTTGTTCCCTCCCAGTTTCTTCCAGCTTCAATTGCGCCAAATTCAAGGCGCTTTTTGCGTAATCTAAAGATCCCATCCCCCTTTTTGCCAATTTTTTTTCGGTCATTTTCAGACCTATCAATATTTTTTCTATCGCTTGACGATAAACACATCCTTTCTCCTCGCACCAAATCAGTTTCCATCTCACGAAAAGCAGGATCAACTAAATGGGCCCAGATGTTCATTTCGAACCACCCTTCTAGTTTTGGAACTGAAGTAAAATCGTCTTCTCCTCTCCACAGAGAATACATTGACCTATACGCAAGGTTAATATAATCCAAATCTGTTGAATAAGGAACATTATCAGAA